ATATATATATATATAATAATAATAAATAAATAGATACAAGAAAACACAAAGAAAGTTAAGAAAAGCAATAAGTTTCATAAGTTCAGCATTTTTTTTCCGGTTTTTTAAATAAAATTTCATCCCTTTTTTTTTTTAAACTGTTGTTTGTTATTTTTTTACTTATTATTTCCCCCTTTTTACATATGTCTTTAATTTTTCTTTGTTTTATTCTTCATTTTGAATATATATATATATATATATATTTGCAATAATTACCATTTTAAACTATCCGTTTATCAAGATTCATTTTTGTTTTATTATCATCATTAGAAACATTTACAATTTTTAATCTTAACTCAACATATGCATATTGAAAAAACCTAAAAACTTTTATTAACATTTAAAAATTTTTAGTTTCGAAGAATTAACAATAAAACATCATGATAAGCTTTATAAATAATATTCAATTAAACGTCTTTTATAAAAAAAACTTGAATGCAAAAACTATTGAAAGATTTAATGAATTTTCCATTTAAATTTATTTAACTATATTGAATAACAATTCAAAAAATTATCCAACAACAAAAAGCTAATTAACTGAGCTTGCATTTTTCCAGTAATTAAAGTAAACTAATTAAGTTTGATTTAAAAACGTGCATTTTTTAAAAAGAAAAATTATTATGCATTCATTAATGAACTTGAGATAAAACAATTTCTTTACGCTTAAAATATAAATCAAATTTCATCGCATCTTGAATAAAAACAGTTTTCATCAAAATTAAAGTTAAACAAAGGGATTAGCTATCTTAACGAACTGCTGCATTGCTTAAAAACTATTTTTCTTTAGGATGCTAAAACAAATAAGATTAGTTTGTGCTAATATTTTCCGACAACTGCAATTACTTTAGAGTCTGAGTAATGCATAGACAAGCAAAACCAATATCCTTATTTTGCAAATATTGTGGAAGGGTTAAAAAAATAAAAACTTTTATTCCTCCAGTTTCATTTTAAATAAAACTCAGAGGATATTTCGCAAATCTTTGTCATAGGGGATGACTTGTCGAGTAAAAATCAAAAAATGGATGAATGCAGTTTTAAAATATAAAGTTAAACTTTACTATCCGCTTTAATAAATCTCAATTCATTTGTAATTCAATGCATTTTATTGAAAACAATATGAATCAATTTTAAAACATTTTAATGCTGAAGTGAAATTTTTTTCTAATATTCATCGCTAAATTTAGTGAATCCCTTGTTAAAGCATTGGACTATTTTAAAACTAATAATTTGAGAGTAATTAGCGTCAATTAAATATAAGTTTTGGGGAAATTCATGAGCAATCTTTGTTACGCTATTATTCTATTAAAAAACTTTCTGAAGGTTAAATAGTGGTACTTTTTTAACTAAATACTATTTTAATAGGTATTGATAAATTTTTACACAGCAGAAAAAGTATGATCAAAACTACTAGAATAATCGTGTTTTTGGCTCTATAGGAACACAAAAAACGGTGGTAATTTTCACCAAAGAGCTTTGGTAATGATTTTGGTAATATTAACAATTAAATATGTATGTTAAATATACAATTGTTTATAATACATGTTAAAATCTGGTTTATGCTGGCAAACTCGGTAATTTCATCATCATACCTTAGAACATTATTTATTATTTATGAATATTATTTATGAATATTATTTATTTGATTAAGTTTACTTTTCAGTTTTGTACTTTTTACCTGCAGTAATAAGAACTGTAATTTAGAAAAACAGAATTTCCAGTAAAACAGAGAATACGGGCTTTCCTCATTTGTACCATCAACTCAAACGTCGCGTTTTAAAATTGCGTGCTAATAAATTGATAATCGATGTCTAAACCTTTTTAAAAATACATTGTTTGCAATATTCTTGAAAAATGGAAACAATCAATTCACGTATACTTACCATAGTCGCATTGATTAGCTAATTATCTTTTGCTGGCATTTAATCGAAAATAATATAGATTATATAGAATGGAGGAAAAACATTTCAGCTCGCTCCTCAAAAGTATTTCAATAGATTGTTTATAATATTTGACGTTAGTTATTATGACACTCAATGCTGAAGTCTGAAAAGGTTAATCACAAAAATAGACAGATCATTATAGGCGTTTTGGCTTTCAAAAACAACCAACAGGCTTTTCAAAACTGGTAGGAAGTGGTCACTCTTATGTTAAAGGTAATCTTTGCATTTATGATTTTTTTTAACGAAAGAAAAGCATTTTTTTTTATTTTCCCGTAGAATTATAAAGTCATTCTTCGCAGATAATTGAGCAAGTATCATGACAAAAAGTATTTTGACTCTCAATTCCCAAGTTTGAAAAGGTTCGTCACAAATACATTTTGAGTCTAAAAACACAAATTACAGAATTTTTGAAAATGACAGAAAATTATCACAATTATGTGGAAGTAAAAATTTATTCTTTATAATTTTTGTTCAATAAAATATGAAATAAATTTTTCATATATCCTCTTTCTACTATTCCATAGAACCTTGGAATCTAAAGTCTTTTTCCACAGATGAAATTAATAATTTGTATTTTTTTTAAAATTTTTAAAACATGAAGAACTGAAAATAATGTATTAAAAAAATTTAATCATTAGTTTAAGAGGTGATCCTACTTCTACTATGCCATTAACATTGTTTTTGTTTTTTTAAAGTCGACTGCTATTAAAACGGTAAAATATTATTTATATCTTATTAGAAAAACAATACTAATAAGAATCTTGAAAAATAGAATCAATCAATAATCTTATACTTAGGTACATCCTCAACAACAAATAATGCATGCTCGAAAGCTTCTATTATATATATTATTAGAAAAACAATATTGTTAAGATTCTTGAAAAATAGAAACATTCAATAATCTTATGCTTAAGTACTTAATATAAAAGTAAGTCAGTAAATGTACGTAATATAAATGTTAAGTACGTAATATTAAAAATAATTTATTAAAAAATGTAACCATTAGTTTAAAACGTCAATCTACTTCGTTTATGCCATCCACTTTTTTGTTGCTTTTTAAAGTCGTCTGCTGTTAAAATGGTAAAGTATTATCTATATTGCATTAGAAAAAAATATTGATAGAATTCTTGAAAAGTAGAATTAATCGATAATCTTATGCTTAAGTACATCCTCAGCATTTTTAATAATGCAAGAGCAAACAGGGTAGAAAAAATTCTATATAGATCAGAAAAGAAACATATTAGCTCCTGAAAAGTATTTTAATAGATTGTTTATTATGTTTGACAAAAGTTATTCCGGTACTCAATTCCAAAGACTGAAAAGGCAACAAAAAAAAAACGAGACACACATCATTATCTGCATTTTGGCTCTTAAGAACAACCTTTACAGACTTTTCAAAAATGGCAGGAGAAGATCACTGTTATGTGGAAGAAAGAATTCCTTCTTTATGATTTTTCCTTTTTCCGAAAAAATAAATAACTTTTTTTTTTCGTCTCTCCGTTTTTTTTTGTTATTCTGCACAACCATGGAATCCAAAGTCATTCTTTTTCGACTGACATGAGGAACTAAGTGGAAATCAATACGCTAGATTGATTCTCTTTTGTTGGATTTTTTTTTTCTCTCCACACGTCCATAGAGAATTTCTTCTTTGGGCTATGCGACTTTTCTTGTAGCTGCTTTACCGCAGTTTTGAAATATTTAATGGTATTCAGCATGGACTGAACAACCCCAGATAGGCAATAGGATGATAAAAAAAGTTGCCATAACCTCAAGCATTTCACTGTCGGTGTACCCACTATTTACTTTTTAATTAGTTAAACGATTAATATAATTAATGATAAATCAACTACAGTACAATCTCGAATTTCAATATCTCAAAAACCTTGTTATGTTAAAAAAATATTTTTCTCCTTGGCATTATATATCTATCTAATGTTGATTTGAATTCTTGTGTCGAAGAGTTTCTTCTCAAAATCTTGTTCTTTCGAAATAGAAATTGACTTTTTTCGGAAAAATCACAAAGTAAGTTTGTTGTGAACCTATTCTTTTCTACTTAATGCATAATTATTTTTGTCTTGCTTTTGAAAATAAAATTATCATTGTTGTATTTAGACTTATAGTCAAACAATCATTACATACTTATTTAACAGTAGTTGTTCTTATGTTTCATGACTCGACTTTTCAGAGTAAAATTTTAGAATGCACTTTTCTACTTTTTAGATCAGATTTTGTTCTGACCTTGTTATCTCGAAAACTCGCTATTTCGAAATTTTTTTAAGCGTCCCTTCAACTTTGAGACATCGAGAGTGCACTGTATTTATATCAATAAAGCTTAGCTTAAACCCGATCCACCCTCGCAGAAAGTACTGAAGTATCGAAGTGCGTGTTCTATCAGTACAAGAAAAAAATGGATTGCATCGATGAACAAAGAAGGCCTGTGAATGAAGCAATAACAAGGGTGACCCTGGGTAGCACTGGTGTAAATGTACAAATGTAAGGATGTGCTGTTTATAGAGCCCTAAGCCACTACTAAAGAATGTTCAGTAATCTGGATGTTCAGATGTTAGGTGCATAATAAGACAAAACAACAAAATTTGGAGCATGATATATGAACATGAATTCTGAATGAAGGTGAAGATTTTACTAATCAGAAATGTTCAAAGTTGAATTAATTTTGAGAATGCAGTTTTGAACATAAGGAATGAATAAGTTATGTGTTGTAGATTATCACATTGATACTCCTTTCTGTTGAAAAGTTATTCAGCTATTGCTATCTAATGCACACAGTGTGGAAAATAAAAAAAAACAGACACCAACCTAAATAACTTTTTACCTAATGATCAGAATAGCTCTTGAGAAATCAAATTTTAAAAAAAGTTTATTTAAATCTTGTCTTTTGCCATGTAAAACTGCAATTGTTAAAATGATGTAAGAAATTGCATACCTTACGATTCAATTTTTTTCGGCTAACATTAAAGAAAATAATAAAAATTAATAAATATTTAATAAGAAATTAATTTTTAACCGGAACTATCTTCGGAAAAACAAATTTTATAATTGTGTGCAAATGCTTTTTAATTCGCTTACAAAATGTTCGAGACATGGCGAATATGCCATAAGTGAAGTTAACATTGATGGGTCAAAACATTGGACTACTTTTCTGATTAAACTAGTGGAGCCATATTTTCCAGATTACATTTAATAATCTTATTTTGGGGGTCAAAAATCCGAAACAGTAAGAAAAGGGTAGGTTTTTTTTTTAAAAAAAATTACGTTTTTGTGTTTGATTTCGTGTCTTAAAATATCGTCTGTGCTAATTAATTAGCATATTGGAAGTCACCTCTTCAAACCATTAAGATTGAGTCCTGGAATGTGAAGATCCAAACATTAAATCAAAAGTTATTCAGGATAGTCCATTTTTCATTTTGTGCACTGTACATTAAGCATTTTCTTTCAAATGTGTGTAGCAAAATTCATAAGACTTGAATACAAACATTAACAAATGGTTTCTCTTTAATTTTAGATCATTAAAGATTACAAATTGTTTATAGTTGTTGGAGTATTAGTTATGATAGATGTTATAATTCTCATAACATGGCAAACTGTCGATCCTTTTTATCGTAAAACTACTAATGGACAACCACTGGTAAGTAAAATTACTTGAATTCATTGTTATTTATTTTATTTTTATCCCAATTCTTCACAAGACCATAATTATTATAAAAATCTGTAGCCCTTATTACTTAACTACTAAATGTGTGTAATTACTAAAAGTCTGTAGCCCTAATTACCTATTAACTTCGTTAAGTCTTACTTAAAATTTTATTTTAAAGTAGCTGTTTCTAGCACAAGTTTCATCACTTATAGATTAAACTTATTATTTAAACAGCAAAATGCATGGCTGCCTTTTTGTTAGATTTCAGTCACCTTTTAATACAGATCTACCTATTAGTATTACCTAACATAAATAAATAAATAAACAAACTTATTGGGATTGTTAAAGTGTTGTCATTTATTTTCATACCAGTGAAACAAGATTTAAATTATACTAATTATATTATTTACTAATTATATTATAAATTGTAATTATATTATAAAACGTAATATAAAATTTTGTTTGTTGCATTGTCTTATCGAAACTGAGAATACATTCATATGATTTATTTTTAATAAAACTACTAATGCTTAAAGTAAAACGCTCTTCTTTTTTTTAAAAAAGAAAGGTTTATCAAAATAAATAGACGTATTACAAACATATCAATGGAAAGTACATGAAGAATAGGACATAAAATATTAAAATATTCGTTTTTTATTATCACCACAACAAAAAGCTTATTTTCAAGATCCATCCATTTTATGACGGATATTTATTAAATATGTCTTCGTAGCTTTATTTAAATTCAGAAAGGCTGAGAGAAGACGTTTGCTTATTACATATGTTACCTACGGTGCATTGTTTGCAATGCAATTTAAACCAATTATGAATCATGAGAATACACATTTTACCTAAACATTGTATGCAATAACAAATAATCATTAGACAAATTATGTTAGTATAGTTAATTTGGAATATTGGACCTTAAACTTTAATAAAAAATATCAGTAAAGAAAAAGCCGAATGCATGGCCCTAAAACTTACAAAAAATTTACTTGAGTTAAAGGAATATCACATAATGACCTTATAAGAAAAAAATTTAAAGAAAATCAATTTTAATAAAGAAATTTTTTAACGTTTTTTAATACAATAAACATTAGTGGAAGAAATATCGGACATTGACCACGTTTTCCTGCGATATATTATCCCGGGTAATCTGGTTATTATGAATAATAATGGTTATTATTAAAATTACATGTAAAATTACTTAAAAAAAATATTAACTTTTTTTAGCAGCACGATATTTCACTTAACAGTAAAAAATACTAATATCATTAATTAAATGTATGTAAGAGTTATTTTTTACAACTTATCGGTTTGTCATTTATCGTTGCACAGAATTATTAGACATTGTGAGAAATACCGGATTCTCAACTTCGCTTCTACCATTTAGAATATCCTTTTATTTATTTCTCTTGCATCTTCGCTTACGTTGAAAGCATATATAAAGAATCCATGAAAAAAGCAGCGATAAAACTAAAATAATAAATTTTCGAAAATTCAATTTATCCGAAACAAGATATCACCTCCATACACCATTTCCAACTTTCTCTCTTGCCCAAAAGCTCCAAAGAAATCTTAACCATCCCAATAACTCCATTTTTATTTCTATTGACAAAAACAGTCAATATATGTCATTCCAAAAGAAAAGGAAAAATGAAGTTATGGAAGTTTATGTCTGAAGTTTTCTGTGCTGACCGATTGACTTTTGATTCACTCGTGGGCATTTGATTTCCAACCTAAGAAAAAGCTCTTACTTACCGAACAAGAACTGAAGATGTTGTTGTACAAAATAAAGGGGAAATGAAACAGGAAGTTAGAAAAATGAAATGTTTGGTGCTTCGGAAAATTGTGTTGAAACTTCTTTACGAACGGTTTACTTAAATTCTCTAGTAGGAATTGAATAGGAGTAAATGGAATTTCTTTATTTCATCTCTGTTTACTTTTAAATTATCTATTTAAACAGGAAAATAGTAGAGTATACCAACAACTAAGAAAATTAGAAAGCTTTCAATTCTATTAAACACATGCAGCTTTTCAATTTTTCTTTTCTGAAAAACTTTAAGAGCTTAATCTACTTTATACGAGACGTAAGAAATTAAATAAGACTATGATGTGCTTGGACCATTTTTTTTTTAAATTTTTATTTGATAAATAGAAGTTTTCATACCATTCGTTTAAAAATAGAAGCTTATGAAGTATTAAAATTAATGTAAGATAATGAAAAAATAAATCAAATGTCATATTTTATTCATTTTACAAAGTTTTATTAGTTGGTTGTTTAGGACATGTGGCGTATGTTCAAAATATTAATCACTTATAACCGCTCAAAAAAATCGATATTTGAGTTGAATAATGCTGAATAATGCAGGATCCAATGAAATCGTTGACAAAACGAAAGACTTATGCTTCAAATGAATCAACCAGTCAATTAGAAATGAAATAAATCAGAAATTATTGTTTTTTTTTAAATGAACGTTTTCTAACATGAGCTATAAACCTATATATAAGATAAAAACAAAATGGTGTTACACCATTTATTATTGTTGTCGGTGATAATTTTAGTAGCTGGAAAACTACAGGGTAGGATCCAGTTTTTCCACAATTATTTCCATACATTTTTGGTTGCGATCAGGATAAAGTTAACAAATTAATTAATATTAATAATATTTTTTTATTAAGAATGATTTTGATTGATTTTTAAATGAAGAGTTTAAAACTAAAAGAGTTGTTTCTTTATTATATTGTTATTCTATCATATTACCTTAAAGTACTACACTTAAAGACAAATTTTTTTAAATAGGTGACTCAATTCATTAACCTATTTTTAACAATTATTTTTTCGATGCAAATTATGTAATACTCTTCTATAAATTTCAAGGAAAGTGATTTGTTAAATAATTGAGAGTTTCGATCAGTTTCATGCACGATGTGTTACTTGCATAAATTGTATTCCATATATTAGCCTGGTTGGAAAACGGAAATATTAAATTAGGGTTGTGCATTTACAAAATTTTTGATAACACAATACCTTAAATTTTAAATATTATTCTAAGAAATAATTTCTAAGTGAACTTATTTATGTTCATTAATAGATCTAAATAGAATCAAAGAAAATATTTGAATTTATTCTTTTAAAAAATAAAAATTTACTTTTTTAAACCAAATATAAAATTTTATGCCCCTTTCAGGAGACTTAACTATTATTCAATTTGCCAAAAGCGTTTTTGGTAAACATGTGATGACTCAGGCAATTTTTGATCAAATTGAAATTCTTATTTTTGAAAAAAAATTTATTAATCTGAAAATAATCAGAATATATTTTAGAAAAATATTTTTAACTATATTGAAAGCTTCTCTTGTTTGCAAAGTGAAAAATGTTATATTTAAAATGTTTCTATAACCTTAAGATAACGGCCTCATTACAAAAATAAGGTCATTGAAACATAACACTTATTTGCTATATTAACGTCGAAATAAATAAAAGTTACTATTTTAACTTCAAATCAAACTTCTAATCCATCATCATTAAATGTCTCCCATAGAATCTCTATAAAAAATAAAAGCTTTCGTTAAGTAAAAGGAATTTTGGTCCTTGGCTCTTGTTTTTCTATCTTAGCTGTTACTTAAATAAAGAAATCGAGTGTCTTTATTGAAGATTTCCTCCATTCTCAGTTCCTTTTTTTTCTTACCTTTCTTTCAATCGTTTATTTTTCTAGCGATTTTTTATCAGTTAAAAACATTATTGTGCAAAAAAACGAAGAAAAAAAAAACACTTGTATTTTACAGCGAATGTTGCGGTGACCGTGACTGCCAGCAGGTACTATAAAACGTACAGCAAATTTACAGTTTTAAATGTTACAGTAGACTGAAATTAAGTTTTAAGCAAAGCTGTTGTTTTGAACATTACAACAGACTGTTGCAAAACTTAAAACAAAGTTGCTGTTTTGAATATTACAGCTAACGTAAAATTTACAACTAAATTACTGCGACTGCCAGCAGGTACTGTAAAACTTACAGCAAATTTACAGTTTTAAATGTTACAGTAGACTGATATTAAGTTTTAAGCAAAGCTGTTGTTTTGAACATTACAACAGACTGTTGCAAAACTTAAAACAAAGTTGCTGTTTTGAACATTACAGCTAATGTAAAATTTACTACTAAATTACTGTTTTAAACATTACAGCAAACTGATGTAAATTTCACATTGTAGTGTGAATACTACAGCAACCTGTTGTTGATGTCGCAATGTGCTGTTTTGGGCAGTGTTGGGAATACAACAGTGTCAACTGACATGTCAATAGTGTCAACAGTAGTCAGTGACAGTGACTCAGTTAGTTAACAGTATCAACTGACTGAGGATGGACAGCACTGATAGTGCACAGCACTATCAGTGCAGTCCATCCTCAAAATGCTGTATAGTGTCTTTAACAAATTAAAGATATTTCTAGATTTTTTTTCAAATAATGTTTCGTTGCGCAAATGTTTGATTAAACTGAAGTCATTGTAAAAATAGGAAATTAAAATCAATAAAACACATAAGTTATAATAATTTTCTTATGGAATTGCTTGCACTTCCTTAAAAAATTACTGTCTAAAGAAATTTCTTTATTACTCTTTCTTATTTTAATAACAGCATTTTCTGAAACGACACAATAAAGAATATAAAAATGTGTACTCTTCATTTCAGAAAAATATTAAAAATTCAATCTTTATTCAAAGAATGGTTTCAACACCACTGTTTCGAAAGCAGCCTTAGATAAACTTTTAATTTTATTTTTGGCTTGCACACGTCTTAAAATTATAAATCTAAGACAAAATATTTTTTTTTAAATTGAAGACAAACTTTTACGTGAAAACTACAAACATTTTGTATCACTCATGCGGAGAACTTTAAGAATTGTAATAAATAAATATAAAAATAATTTTTTTCCTAATCAATAAGATGGTTACCTGTGTTTCGAAATAAAATCTTTCTAAGAAAAATTCAA